AAGTATGTATTGACGGCGAAGATGAACCAAGACCCGCTGGAGCGCTTCTTTGGAATAATCAGGCAAGCTGGTGGGCAAAATGAGCACCCGACGTTTCCCACGTTCCTACAGCTGTACCGTATGCTCAGCTTATATTCTTTGGTAAAACCACCAAAGTTTGGGAATTGCACGCTGCCTGATAAAAGACAAGCAGCCGTTGTGACTTTGTCTGATATCAGGGAAATATATAAAGGTTCTGCCGCGCAACGCACAGGAAAGTTGGATGAACTAAAGCGAAAGCTTGACGGGCTCATCGACGAAGGAAGCTGGGAGTGCGATGATGTCTTCGATTTCGACGACCCTGACACAGACGCAACAGTAGTTGAGTGCATTGTCTACTACGTTACAGGTTTTGTGTCCAGAAAACTTCGCAATGGAACAACCTGTTCCATTTGCAAGAACGCTCTTCAAGGAAAACAAGGTCTCGCAAGCGTGCCCGAAGCTGATCTCGTGAACTGTAAAACCCGGGGCTGGCTCACGCATCCAAATATGCACCTCTTTGACTTTTTCAAGTACACCGAGGAACAGTTTGCCAAGTATGCAGGGGACAGGGATGCATACGACAAAACTACTGATGCCGTGTTGGAGAATTTCCACTTCACATTTCCTTGCGGTACGCACAAAGAAGAAATGCTTGCGAAGTTGCTACACTACTATATCTGCCTACGTATGCGTCAGTACTGTAGGCAATTGAAGAATAGACATGAAAAAAAGAGCCACGACTTGCGAAAAATGGCAAAGCTTGTGTGAGCACGACCGCTACACGGACTCAATGCGACTTTCTTTGCTTATATGCGTTTCATGAACTTCTTTTATCGGACATATTGTGTGTCCTCTTGTGTGATCGATTTCATGTCTGAAAATTCTAAAAGTCAGTAAATAAATGGTATATGTGTCCTGATGTGAAGTTATGCTACGTATTGTCACGTAGTGATGACGGCAGTCCGACGGTCAGGAAGAGAACCAAAACGCTTCTAAAAGAAAGTGTTCATTAGGCGGACTAGCGCCAACTAAGAACCGTACAACTCGGGGCCGGCGACAGCAACAACGTGCACGGCGGTCGTCGAAGAACAGAGTGCTTGGTGCTTTAGGCCGTGCTCAATTTAAAAGCCGTAAAAAACTTTCGAGATAAGCGCCCGCAAGTAACGACAAGAATGTGGAACAATGTCGAAGACACTGTTCCAGTTTCTTGTAGTTACTTTTAGGACATCTCGTATCGCGCACAAAAGTGATAAAGTCTTGTGGCGGTAACTTTCAACGCGAACGATCCATGGCCTATCCCCCGAGGTGCGTTGCACCATAGGTCAGAGGAACACGTACAAAACAAACAGTACAAAGCTTTCGCGGCAATATAAGCGGAATAGCAAGGAGAGATGCCCCTGGCTTTTGAACCAGTGGCGCCAGGTACAGCTGATGAAAAAACAGCACATACGTCACTAAAAAAAAACAAAAAAAAAACGTTAAGTTGTGTAATCATGCGATTGCGACAAAGCGTGGTCGCACCAGAACCTGTTCCATGATGCCATAGCTTAATGTCGATTCCAACGTACTGCTCAGGCCTCGGTTTACGTTATTAAGAAAAATTAATCAGTTATATGCAGTCTCCAGCCAAAGTGAACCGCACATCGCCAATCGTTCCTGGGCAACCCATTGTGAACAATAAGTCAACGACTAGGCCTCATAATACGTAAAAACCGCTCGTAGGTCCTTGACAGCGCTTCGGTTGCCCTCGGCAGAGCGGTCCTACACCGCGAACGGGACGCAAGCGCACGGCATGCGGGAGGCAGAGCCAAAGGGCATTAGAGTGCCTCGATGCGCGCGAGCGCGCGGGCATCAAGGCACCCTAAAGGGCATTAGTTTCGCGCGCCATCTGTTGGCGCTATCTGGAAGCAGAACCTTACCGCGGCGCGCCCAGCGAGCGCGCTCGCTCACCTAAGCTACTTCTTACACCGTGGTCCTTACCAAACAAATTCATAAGTTATTTTGGCATATAAAACTTGTCAAAACACCGACGGTTCATGTTTGTATTGCTGACATTGCGACACGGACACCAATGCACAATGTTGAGCAGGAAAAAGATGTGTTCTACCAAGCATGCAACCGTTTTTACAGAGTATGCATCAAGAGTTGTTTACCTCATTTCTTTGAGTTGCATGAAGGAATATATAGGCCAAATAGGGCAGTGCTTTTTTGACAGGGTCAGGCAACACCGTCTCAATGTGAAATGGCTTTAATGGTTTCAGCAGCTTGATGGCAACACATTGTAAGGAGTGTGGATGCTACTGAAAGTTCACTGAAGCAACGTTTACAGCCAGGGCAAAAGAAAAGACAGAGAGAGACGTAATAGAAGTGTATTACATAAGGCAAATGGGCTACGCCTGCATCAGAACGATTTCACTATCCCTTAAATATAAAAAGATTTGTTTTCTTGGCAGCGAATTGCGGTTCTTTAGTTGCTAAGAAAAGTGTGATGTGTGCACACATCGTCATATGATTTGCACGAGTTATAAAATTTTCTTTCTAATATGGAAAAAAATTTGTTGGAACCTCGGCGCCCGTCCTGTTCCTTGTGTTGTGTCCTCGTTCAATTTGAGCCAAAGTATAATTCGTATTTAAGTTCCGCAAGTTTTCAAATACAAACTGTCCCTGCAGTCAAGGAACTGGAATGCTGGCAGCCCATGCTTTTGCTGAAAAATTCCACAGGCCACTGCAGCTGGTGGTATTGTTGAGAAAGTTCGGTGATTGTGTGGTCAGATCATAGAGTTTCATACAATAACACCTAGAGAGGAATTTGGCACAGCGATCGTGTACATCCATGAGAATTATGGGAAGTACAGGCTTCGAATTGGATAGGGTTAACTAGCCAATCCTCTACAGAATTTTTTATAGAGTTTCAGTTTCATTCTTCGCCCAGTGCGGGTAGTGGGGTGGGGTAAAAAGCACTGAAGCAGCACCTTTGTTGTTCAATGAGGCTGAAGACCACTAGGTCTGAAGTTTGCTACGACGTTGAAGCTTTACGAGTCGTATTTGACAGTTTAAATGAAGGGTCATTCACTCACCGCTGCGCATAGATGTAGCGCCCCATGCCAGTGCAGGATATTGCATCAAGTTAATGTTTTTTAAAAAGCGCGTTTTCCTTAAACTCGTTTTAAATACACTTCAAAACGATGACGAAGCTAAGTGATGCACCGTCACATTCCGCTGACTCGACTTCACAACAGAATCAGAGGTGCATTGGGGTAGACCACTTGGGCAAACGCACCTAGCATCGCACAAGATGAAATGTTAAGTGTTTCTTAATTTATACTGTAGTGTTATTTCCATAAAAAGATCATTCGTACTTTCGAGAAAAAAAACAAGCGTGTTTATTTTTAAGCATTGTAAAAAATACTAATTCAGTAAATTTTGATGCCAAATCTGGAACGCAATGGCAGAGCAATGCATACCCTGATGGTTACCGTATTTACTTGTGTAATGAACGCACTTTTTTTCTCGAAAAATTGGAGCAAAGTTGGGAGGTGCATTTATTACGCGGGGTATACTTTATGAAAACTTTTTCGGGAGAAGAAAGAAATGCGGTAATGCAAAAAAAAAAAAGTTAGGTCACTTGACCTTTCGCAATTTACATACTCTTACACTGTTTGCAAACAGCTTCTTTGTTGCACTTTACTCATCTTCGGTGGTTGATGGCGCTATCTTCTGCAAGATGTCCCTGGGGCCCCCCATGCACAACATAAAAACTATCTTTTCTCCCAATCCTTTGACTGCAACAGTGGCTTGTGATATGGAGGGACCCCCAAAATCACCCACTCAGGGGGGGGGGGGGGGGCAACTTCCGGGAATGAAGGGACAGTTAGAGTGAAGAAAAAAGAAAGTAGGTTAAAAAAGAAGTGGGGGGGGGGGGTCCCAGGAAGTGACCACAGCGGGGCAGTTTGGTGACCTCCCCTCTGACCTTCCTTGCTGGCTGTGTGCTATCAGCTGGGATGTCTCTACACTGGCACTGCTCCCTCTGAATCCCGTGAGTAAATACGGTAATTGTCCAGGTTTCACTTTTGCCCCCTCGTCACGAAAACTTTTTCCAATAAAGTTTGCATACAAACCAATAAAGCAAATTTCAATTATATACAAGTTCATATCACTTTGTTTTACACTCGGAAAAGAAGCGTCGCGAATCTCAAGAACGTAATCCATCCGAAGCGGATTCGAAGCCTGTGCTTCCCATAATTCCCATGGGGGTACAAGCGCCGCTGAAGGAGCCTGTGTAGACACCAGCGCCAAAATGCCCTCTAGGTATAATTGTATGTAACTGTATGGGACCGATATAACTTATGAATTAGCACCCTGTACAAACTTTTATGGAAGTACATCACAATAATTAGTATATTTTTTTCTTAAACAACTGAACTAATAAATATATGGTCTACTCAAGCACATAAACATACTTACTCACTGTAGTTTAGTCCATCACAGTTGGGAGTTAGAACTATTTTACTGGGCTTAGTAATGTAATCCAGTATGGTCTAGTACTAGTAGTAGAAAATTTTATGCATGCTGTATGGGTCAGTATAAATTGTTTGACCTCGTGGCACTTAGCGACTTCAACCACATAGATCCCGTCAGTATGCTCCAATGGCCAATCAAAATTACAGAGGTTGCTTAAATATGGTTTGCAGGCACATTCAGTTCTCCCTCTGAAAGACTAATCAATGAAAATTAAAGAGATTTTTGTGAAAATGTAGCAGGCTGTAGAAGGTTTCACCTCCTGGAACAGTTTTGTGCAATTGGCGCAGCTATCACACCACTGCAAGCATCCTCTTATGGCACGAGTGGTGCTTCTGGTTTAGTGAAAGGATAATTTTGTATATGCAAAAAAAAAATAATTCTTTCTTTACTGCCATTTTAAGCTTACTTGGGGGCTTTTCAAAATGTTGTGGCCATCGAGCAGGCACTAATTCACTCACCTCTATTGCCAGCTGAAACTGTTCATGTTGGGAGCGTGACTGCTCAGCTTCAGTGAGGCAAGTTGGAATCGCAAACGTTGCAGAGAGCATTGCCTCTCCATTTCTGATCCATGTGTTCACCTAAAAATTAGAACGCACACAGTGCCATATGATGTCACATACTTGACAATAACATCAGCAACAAAGCATATTTTTACAAAAAAAAAGGGGGCTTAATCCTTCTAACACTTCCATTAATAGCTTTACACAATTCCTTCAAGTATAAACAGCATGTAACATGCACAGTTAGTGCACTGACACAAACCCAACATGAGAGAAAATTTTGACATAAATTTTTTTTAACTAAAAACATCATGAAAACTGATGTGTCTAATGCCCACATAGCTACAGAGATAAAATAGAATGTTTTAGCATAAAATTATAAGCAATAGACTAGTATTACATTGTATGCATGCATAAAAATGGAGATCCATGTAAGACACATTGTAATGAATCACATTGTCGCAATAAAATTTTATGAAAGAAAACCAACACATCCCATTATGGGCCACATGCAGCCATGTATAAGTATCTTCAAGCAGATGCTGAGGATCTTGCAGACATCCACAATGATAGCTTTTTCAATAATGTCACTCCTTTACGGTCTCATAGCTTTTGATATTTATGTGCATTAGTTTACCACAAAACTTCACACCCCCACCAGTATAAGCACCTGTTTTTCCTTAGTGAAGCATGAAGTTGCAAAGAGCTATATGTTCTATTTGAACCAGTGCTTTCACGAGTCAATCCGGCTGCTGCCGTAGAAGATTCTAAAAGCTGACTTGAGGAATCTGCTACAGCCACAAACAGACTTATGAAAGCGATGGTTCAAGCATGCGAGATATTAATGACAGCAGCAATGGTGTCTTCAATTACCGGCATTTTTCAACAGCAATTTGAGCACAAAGAAAAATTCAACATTCAAAATTTCAAACATTATTTTCCACCGACTCTAAGGTGCTTGTGGCATGTCCCAAAAATCGGCAGTTGCGTGTAAATAAAGTCAAACCTAATTATATAACACAGTTCCATCTTCACGAAAATAAATTTGTTATAACCAAAAATTTGTTTTAAAGGTACATTCCAAACACTGTATCGGTTGCAAGACTATTCTTCATTTCCTTTGTTATAACCAGCATTTCGTTATATCCCAGTTCATTATATCGAGGTTTGAATGTAGTGACAAAGACGTATCCTACTTAAATATGTGTTATTGAACTCCTGATTGATGCAATTAGACTTTTTTTTTACGTGTCAGTGGTACTTCCTTGAAGCCCGCAAGACTTGGTTCATCCAATTGCTGCCAAATGGGTCTCATACCACAGGGTAAACTAACCAACAGATTCACTCTTTTATGATAAAAAAAAAAAGGTCGCAGGAAAAAAAAAATTTTCTGACTAGAGTTTTTTCCTGACGTAGTTAACAGGAGTGCAAAAGCCGAAATAGAATGTGGAGCAATTTTTGGAGCAGCCAAACGTTACTTTTGGAGCACTAAAATTAATCCAAAAATTAATTTTTTTTTATCACAACAGACCAAATTTGGAGCAGTAAAAAAAAAAAGAAGGCTTGCATTTTGAAAAAAAAAATATGTACAAACCATTCCGCGTCTCCTAAATCGAGTAAATATGAGTACTGCCATTTTAATAAAAAGTAGTATTTTGAACTACCCTACTCAGCAAACAATGATAAAGTCTCTACATTAGCATTTGCCATGTCACTCAAATTCTTTGACAGACTCTGAGGATTCAAATGTGGATGAGCCAAGCTGGTGACGTTAGGGGTGGCGAAAACAAAAACAAAAAAAAACCTGGCGAACAGTTTTGATTTTTTTAGGGCTGCACAAATATCATAAAATGCTCCAAATGATTGCCAGTAACTTTTTTAGACGTCCGCGATCATACTCGTACAATTATGCAGCGTATACCCGCAGAGTAACTGAACAAACTATGCTGAGTCCCATGACTGATTCCCGAATGCAGAGATGTTACCTCACTCGTGCTTGACTCGTTCTTGATTCAAAACAGTCTTGCCGCTCGCCATAAATCGTTCTTGAACTTGTGGACGACTTGAAGGTAACTTGGCTCGGTCAAAGTCAGGACATGTTTCAAGTCAGATGCGGGTCTAGCTTGAAAGCGACTTCATGTGTTATTCCAACATGGCCACCTCTCAAATGGACGTCGCACAGAGGTTGGCCGCTTTTGAGTTTGCTTGAGTCGCCATAACTGTACGATTTCTGAGATGCACTGCCTGCCGAAGATTCCTCGACTACCTTTACGCAATCGAGGAAATCCGATGGAGTTGTACGATGAGCAACAATTCCACGCTCGATACAGATATACGAAGAACGCTGTGCGGCAGCTGCTGGCTATGTTGCCGCTCTGTGCAAGTGGAGACAACCGAAGACAGCCTGTGCCTCCAGTGTTACGGCTACTGATGGTGCTCAGGTTTTACAGCGCTGGCACATTCCAAGCAGTCACCAGGAATCTCGTCTGCATTTCGTAGTTGACAGTGTTCCGTGCAGTTGGAAAAGTTACGCTACTCATCGCAAAGCATCTGTACGAGATGCTGGTGCGCTTTCTGCAGCCACCGACGCTTTCGATAGTTATGCGGGACTTTTATGAAGTGGCTGAGTTCCCTGGTGTTACAGAATGGGTCGACTACACACACGTGCATATTATTAGCCCCGGTAGTGATGACGCGGAAGTATTCCATAACCGCAAAGGCTATTTCTGTTTTTCTAAAACACGACGACATTTTTCATCGTTTCTGTCTCTTTCGGTACAAAATTGACTCAGCGCAGAGTCTGTGTGCCTCGTCTACCCTTTCGTCTCATCTAGGGCGCTGTTTCTCGCTCAGACAGGCATCATTTTCTGCACAACGCTACGAAAAATTCCACAAAAATAAAAAGCGATGCCCCTATCACGGATTTCTTGAACATGTGCCTCCCCCTTCACCATCATGCAGCGAGACATTGCTGCACCCCGTGAGACGAAATTCCACTGAGGGCAATGCCCTGACCCCCGTCTTTTCTTATTGTTTACCAAGCTCAACAGAAGGATACGAATCACTTTTGTTCCCAGAACTTGTTTTTTTAATTATTTTTTTTTTCATATGTAACTGCGATCTAGCCCGCTACAAGCATGTCTACAGGCGAATAAAAAGGCAAATACCTTGAAAATCGCGTTACCTCGCGAGCCAGGTCAGCACAAATACTTGCCGCGAAGCTCGATTGGAAAAAAAAAACACGAAAGAACATGCCATAACAGCATTTGCTGACTAGGATATTTATATTTGCTGCGAAGCGTTGCTGGCTACAGCAATGTCTTTGTCCTGAAGTTGTGTCACGTATCGCTGCGATCAGCGGACCGATGGAGCGCGGCATTCTTACTTTAACTGGTGCATTGCGTTTCTCGAGTGTCCTGCCGTAGTTTAAAGTAAGGGTCGCGCGCGTAGATCCCTGGACTGATTGAGGACGCAAACTACAGGTGCCCAACATGGCCTTCATTGTTCACTGAAATTGGCGCAACTAAGAAAATTTTGGGGCTGGTCGGGCATCTTGGTGCAATTTCGGCCAATTTCATGATCTGGGCACAGCTTGGCGCAAAAATGGGGAATAGTATCAAATTGGCACAATTGGCGCAGCTGTTGCACCCCTGTAGAAACCACAGCTTACATTTTCCCCTTGTTAAGCAGACCCACTTGGCACCACTATCCTCATTCATGCCAATCATCCCAAGGTTGACACTTTTCGCTACTCCTTTGGATTAAACTTAAATTAAACTTAAGCTGATTGGATTAACCTTACGGAAGCATTCCCCCAACACGCATGACCATTTTTGCAAATACTGTTGTTCTTTTATCAATTCCTTAAAATTTTATTATGGCCAAGTTGTTCGATCGCATATTTTTTTAAAGCCGTAATCCTCTATCTTACAACCAAAAACATACAGCATGCGCGCCAGCGATCACGACCACGCCCTTAAAACCCAAAGTTCACGGTTGCTAGTCGAGCGACTCCTCCCCCTCCTCATCCCATGTTTTTTCATGCTTATTCAAGACGGGTGGTTTCCTTTCTGTTCGAGCATTCAACAGCAGTTCTAAAACATGGGGGATGTATCGTATGCACCCTTCAGATGATAGAGATGGGCTGGCTCATGCGATTTCTGTTTCAGCAGCACTCGCACGCTTTTACCCGCTCGTAAAAGTTACGATGCGCGGGGCATGCTCTCAAGTTGTACTCGTTACGGAATAAGGCGGCGACGGGTAAAACCCGCTGAGAGTGTCCACGCATTCGCTATCGCAATATAACACAGTTTTTACCACTAAAGAAGTGTTTTGGGTTAGCTATGCCTTTAGTTCGCCTTTTGTTTAATTTGTGTGCTTATTTTTTTCGAATTTCCGTATCAAGCTACGTATAAGAAAATTCTCTTTATAACGAACTTTTCTGGGAATTTATCCATTTCGTTATATCCAGGGATAACTGTATCACATTTAGAAGCATGCAATGACCAGGAAATAGAGAATTTCCTACCTTTGAAATGAAATTGAATTAATAGAAGGAAACAATGTTGACTCAAGTTGACTGCTAAGCTAAATAATTTCTGCATGCCGCCTTTTTCCAGCCCCCGAAAAGCTTCTAAGAAAATTTTATGCTCACACATACTCAGACACCTTAACTACTCATGGTACTGCACCATAAAGAGCATTTTCAGGCAAAACAGACAGAAAATGAAGCCAAACCACAGTAAACAGTTTCATCTTGAAGACCATCAGAATCATAACAATGGAAATGGCTTTTAAGGTAGGTCACAATAAGTGGGCATTGAAAATGTGAACTGACACACAAGCGATTATGGAGTGTTGCAAAGTTGTCAAAGGTGTTATCCGAGAACTGTCAGTTCAAACACGTGTGACAACCATAGCTGGGCAAGGGAGCAACTTACCCACATGCTATATTTTTGCTTTGGGATCATTAAGACTCACACTCATCAAAAAGCTCATCCACTAGACTCATTCGAACTTAGACACACCACGGTTTTATTCAGCTGATCTCACTTAAACTTGAACTAAAAAATCAGGCGACGTCTGAGTAAACAAGTAGACTTCTGAATTTGCTGACCTATGCTGACAAGCTAAAATGAGAGGCTTTTACCTGATTGGCATCTTTCTCCAACTGACACAGCTGAATGCACTGCTCCAATCGAACTCGTTTCACCTCCGCCAAGTCTTCTATATCCATTTCACGCTCATGCAGGAATTCAAGCAAGGTCTGGATCCTGTTCTGGGCGTCATACTGGCTGTCTGCCATGAGCTGAACGCCTGACGACTCAAAAACCTGTAGTACACAAGGGGCCGCCAAGTTTAATTAGTCAACAAGAATCAACATGACAATACTTGACCATTCCACACAACATTCTTCAAATATAAAATTTTTCAGTGTACTTCGTAGGAAAATAAAACTTTATTCACTGGGGAAGCTGTAATACTCATTACATTGTGACTTCCTTCGACATGCAGCCGAAAGGCAGCACCCTAATTTCTCTTAATCCAAGAAGTGCCTTTCACTACCATGTTCCCATCATAATAACTTCCTCATGATCAAGCTGGCTGGCAACAGAGACTGTCCATCATAATGTAGGTGGCAAGTTTGATGCCAGCATGCACGTGGCCTGCAGAGAAATAATTCTTCAAACTCAACAGCTTCTGCCAAGTTTGTGACTCTGCGTGCGCGTTTCACTGGGTCAAAACAAAACTACAGTACGCCACAACCACTGCAGACAAAACCATGACCACAATTAATATTGTCATAGATGGTGTCACCACCATTACAAAAGCATGCACACAGCAGACGTGTACCAGGTCAAAGTAAAAACACTGTTAGCCACAACTGCTGTAACCAACACCTTAGTTGCGAATAACATGATCATGAATCGCAACCATGTACAGAGTGAAAACCAAACTACTGCGTGTTGCAGCTGCTGTGGATGAAATAATGACCCTTGTCCATGCAATCACGCTGTGCTTGCATACAGCCAACATATGGCCAGTTAAAACAAAACTACTGTTTACCAGAGTGCCGCCAACAAAATCAAGGTCGTTAAAATCATGGATGACTACCACTCTGTTTTGAAGGCATGCAAGCAAAGTAGTGTCATCCGTGGCAGTAAACACAAAAAACCTTAGACCTGCACGGAACATGCAGTAAAATCAAAGCGAAAGCTAGACAGCAGCCTTTCTAAAGCCTTTTATAAACTCTCCTGGGGTAACTACTACAAGTACAGTTGCAAAGTACCCACTACCCAATAAATCAGCATAATATTTTTAAAGGGGCCCAGCAACACTTTTTGAGCATGGTCATAAAACGCTGCCGATCGGTAGTAGAGGCTCCCAACAACACGCGAGCCAAATATTATAGCACAGCTCGCGGCCTGGACTTCACAATAAATTATCAAAGTCAGCTAAAAATTGCTTTCTCTTCTCTCGACAAATGGCAGAATATGCCCAAAAATGACATGTGAATTACCCATCTATCAGCCATTGGCTGATTTGAACATGGCGCGCTCGCTCGTTACAGAGATCACCGCGGGAGGGCGCGACTTGTCCACGCGTGTGCGCACGATCACACCGAAAAAGCGGCGCATTCGAAGAAAAAAAAAAAAAAAGTGCTCAAGGCCACGAGGCGCGTGTGACGTTTTTCTGTGGCCCTGCCATCCCTCCCTGCTTATCATCCAGCGCTTTCGTCGGGACGAGAGTAGAGAGAATGCAATTGCAGCATGCGACAAACTTTTGTAACTCCACTCGCACTGGACGGATTCTTAAATATTTTGCGGCATTGAATTCGTGAGGCTATAAGCTCTTCCAGTGAATTCATTCCGTGGTTACTTGAAAAAGCGTTTCAGGGCCCCTTTAAGTAGGCAAGCACCCACTATGTCATTCATCATTCTGCAGAGAAGCAAGGTATTCACATCTATAAGGCATTATGTGCCTTTTATTGTTGCTGTGGCTAAAGATGATAAAGAATTATGGACATGTCCTCTGTAACTCTGTAATGCCATTCTCATTGTGTGATGCACAGCTGTTATTTTACTCTTCTACTATGCTATATTACATGTGTTAACGTTATTCCTTGCCTAACATGAAACATGAATGAGGCCTTCAAGAAATTTTGAAGCGTTGGCGTGACACCGCAGTAGAAAGATCATTTGCCAAGCAGAAGGCCTGGGTTCAAATCCGACTCGATCCATATCCAGGGCCAAGGAGGCAGCGAAGGCCACAGGGTTCCTGGAATGAGGAGACCTCCCACCTAAGGTGGACGCGGAACCTACACCGCTACACCGTTTCGAAAATAAACGTTTATTCCTCCTCCACCTTATTTTGCATGATAGCACTTATGGACACCGGCCGAAGAGGCAGCAGACAACGCCACCACCAAAATTTGTTGCTGTTATGATCTCCTAACAGCTTTCGCTGTAAAAGGCACGAAGCATTCTGATATACCCATCATTCCCATACAGTTCGCACTGACAACTATGGAAACGTAAACTGCACTGCTTCGTTTTGGTCAGATCCTAGTGAAGTTCTTGCCTTTTTTTTTTGTCACATGTTTGCAGTGCCTCACATTTTTCAAAGATTGTTCAAATAAGCTGGAGTGCAAAGATATTAAAGTTAGAGAGTTCAGTGCCATTAAATATAATGCATACACTTGCATACACTTCTTAAATTAGCAAGAATTCAATTCAAAAGATTAAACTGTGCTTTAGTTGGCAAAGTAGTACTTCAATGCTTTTCAGGTCACGAAACTCCAGCCTCAATTTTATATGGAGCCTACGCCTGCCACTCGAGGCACAACCGTGCATAAGAGGGAAACCAAGTGCTGCTGCTTCTGCAGTTATGCGAGGGGCAGCCTCAACAGTTTAGCTTTCTAAAGTCCGAGAGAGCCACTTCACTTGCGCATGAAGACTTTAACACTCGACATACTAAATGAGTGCCAGAGTGTGCCACATGTCTTGAAATGAGCCCCGGAGCAAAGAGAATGGGCACTCGAAACATGCGGCTCTTGGCAATTTCACAGAAAGAAAAGTCCAGGGTTTGACACTCCATAACTATCATGACTAGGAAGGACAGGGGAAAAGAAGACTCTGGATTCATTTTTGATAACCTAAGGCCCTTGAACTAAAAGAAAGTGCACTGTCTTTTTTGTTTTGTTTTTTCCCCCTCCTTTTTCCAACCAGAGCAAAATGCGGCCGCCATGGCCTGGCTAGCGTCATTCACCTCAATGTTTTAACAAGTTTCACTATTTAACATTTGCCTGAAATCAAACGATGCGCACTTACAATAATGCCCTAGTGGTGCCACTAGTAAGAAGAGAGAAACATCGCGGCTGTTGCAAAGAGGTTAATGCGTAAGAAAGTGCCAATTTTAGGATGCGCAAAGCGCCAGATTGTTCTCGCCTAGCATTGCTGTTCAATGTTCTGCTAAACTATGAGAAGTTTTTCAACAGGAGGCCAAAAAAATTTAGTCACTACTACAATGACTGCTTCCATAGAATGACTTCATCTAATGACCAAGAAAATAAAACTGGGGTGCTGTGCGAGCTATAAATTTTCAGTACAGCGGTGACACTTCTGCACAAGATTTAGGTGAAGTAAATGTGGGACAAAACTCGTATAAAATGTCTTCATTGTGGTCATTAGCGTAAAATTAGGGTGACTGAAGGTAACTGAAACTGTATTGCGAATAAGCAACTACCTGAGCGAGCGGTTTTGTTGCCATGCGGTGCCTACACTGCTTGGCTGCAGACCCGTAAAATGAAGAGCCAGCAATCGCATTTTGACGAAGATGAAATGCTAGAGGCCCATGTACTACACAATATCTATGCACACTACAGAACTCCAGGTGTCCAAACGATCTCCAATGCCTGTACTATGGCATGCATCTTGATCCTTTCATAGTTAAACCCCAGACATACAGCAAGCGGCATTTTCTACAAGTGTCAATAATCCCAGCACCTGATCACGCTCCTCGTGGTTTTGCACAGAAAAGATGAATTGGATATTTTAATTTTTATTGCCCATTGGCTACATTTTTAATGCGTTAGAAGGGGTTCAAATGTTACATTTTTATATTCTTATCATTTGTAAAATAAAAATAAAAACACAATAAAAGTTTAATTTTATCAAAAAAAAAAGTGTAATGGAACAACAGCAACCTGCAATTAGCGCATTTTGTTTATGCTGTAAAACATGTGGCAGAAAGACCACAGAAGGTCTCAGGCAATGATGCTGTTGAAATTGCCATAGCAGGCAGTGGCAATGACCGATTCATTAGTTTTGTGCGTGGGTGCATGCACTTCCACTTCAAGTTATAATCATTAGCAGTGGTAGGGCCCACTTCTATTTCTCAAGCTACTCCTTGTTTCTCAGTGAGCAAAACAGCCCCTTTTGGCTGTTCTCTCGTAAACAGAACCGCCTACCAGCGTGATTGACACGTTCAGCATTGTCGTCCCACACCAACACTTCAGCTCAGCTGTCTCAAAAAATAGTGCAACAGGTGCACAAAAACCAACACAACTATCAGCTTATGTTGCACTGCACAAGTGAGTTGTGGCAGCTTTCAGCTGTGTATGAAGCTACCCATAGCGTGATGACAGAGTTTTGTCACAAGAAAAGTAAATATTAAGAACCCCTGACACCAAATTTTGAAACTTGAGGTGCTTGTGTTGTTTGATAGTCTTGCATGTGGGGACACTTCAGACCGATTATTAGAGACAAGCGTTGCCTATAGGACTATTTATTTTGGTTTTAAAGTACGGGTGTAACCTCATCAGAAAAGTCAGATCCAATCAACAATGCCTGTTGTTTGACATAGCAGGGCCCCCTTGTGACATTGCAGAGGTCAAGCAAGTACGCTCCAACTTCGATATAACGAACCTAGATATAACAAAATATTGGTTATAATGACGTAAATATAAAATAGTCTTCCAATAAACATAGTGACAGGAATAAATATTTATAACAAAATTCCAGATATAACAAACTTAATTTCGTTAAGATGCAACTTTGTTATAATGAGGCTTGAGTGTATTGTCTGCGTCAGAGACACGCACAATAGCTAAACTGGTACTCGGCGAGGACCACTGTTCGTCACCCCTCTTGCTCTGTTGTTAGCTGCTTTGAAAGTGGTTTTGGCTGCTCACGCAAGGAATGCTTTTCTTTTTTCTGACGAGGTCACGCTCAAAGCACCCATATCGTTTTGTTCTTCAACGCCCACGGGTCCTCTTATTTTAAAATGGCACAATCAGCATCACTGAAGCTTGAGTGCACGTAGTCTTAGGCG